AGGTCTGCCACCATGTGGGAATCTCCCTGGCCGGCCAGGAATCGAACCCATGCTGCAGAGGCTGCGGAGAGCTTCACAGCGCTGCGCTCACAGCGCTGCGCCACCAGGGAGGCCCTAAACATATTTTTAACTGAAACGTAAAGAGATTTAACCTCCTGCTTTTCTTGCTTTCACTGAAATAAATCCTAACAAATGTATTATTTACCCATAAAAATAACACTTTTTTTCAGAAGCATTTCCATGAACTAACCACCTGAGGACTATACATTCTGTTGTATCAAACAATATGCCTTGTTTCTTCTACTCTATTAAGGATTAGGTTTTCCTAGAGGAAATCATATTTTTATTCTCTTTTTAGGACACATATTAAGATTTTTAAGAAGAGAAAAGTGAAAAATTCTCCTTGAGCAGTCATTGAGAAGTATGGATTTTTCTTTTTTTAAAAGCAATATTAAATATACAAATAATAATTTAACATATTTAGACGTCAGAAGTTTATTCATTGAAATGCCATGAGTTTGAGTTTGCTGAATAAGTACTTGAAGAAGTACTTTCACTGATACACTAACAAATTTAATCCCTGGGGATGACATAGATAGCACATATCTGTATCTCTCTAACACCACCAAATTATCATGTATCAGGGTTATGGTGATCATCTTAATTCTTCAAACAAAATTACTTAAGGGGAGTAGCCAGGTATGATTAACCCAGCCTCTTTCCCAGCACATAGGCCCACAGTTTCGAAATAGTAGGTCCTTCCTAAAACTTTGCTGAATAAATGTAACTCAAATGCTGACGCATATTAGTTACATGTCAGTGTCTGCTTATGTATACCTACTTGTATGTCCCTAAGGTGAAATTTAATCTTCAAAAACCTTTTGATTCATTAGCATTTTGGTTATCTCACCTATTCAATCAGCAAATTCCTGATAACCAAGTTATCACAAGTTTCAGTTGCTCCATAAAACTGGTTAGGTTAGGGGCCTCCTTGATGGTGCAGCACTGAGTTCCATCCCCGGCCAAGGAGGTGACCCACATGGCACAGCCGACCTCTCCTGTCTCACCCGCTGCTCCCCTCAGCAGTGTGTTTCATTAGATCTGCCTGTTCTGCTTCCCATTCTGCCTCTGGTGAGGCCTCTCATCCCCCATATCTCTGGCCTGCGCCCCAGCTCTTGTATGCATAAATAAATAAATCTTTAAAACAAAAAAAACCCAAAAATACTGGTTAGGTGAAATGCAGCAAAACAAGTTAATGAAAATAAAAAGTGAATTTTTGAAGAGAAAAAAGGACTGTCCATTCCATTACAAGGTAAATTCTAGAAGAATAGAGACTTTTTAGACTGTTCATAGCTGTATCTCCAGCTTCCAGTAGTGTTCGCACATAGTAGATTCTCAATAAATACATGGTAAACAGGCGGCTGGCAAAACATGTTATTATTTAACCTATCTATATATATTTAGTTCAAGTTTTAAAACAAGTTTCACTAGCGGGGTGAAGAAGTTCCAATTTAGGGCCTCCCTGGAGGCGCAGCGGGTTGAGCGCAACACTGTGAAGCTGTCCGCAGCCTCAATTCCCGGCCGGCCAGGGAGATTTCCACATGGCGTGGAAGACCTCTCCTATCTCGTCCGCTGCTCCCCTCAGCAGTGTATTTTGGTCAGTCTGCCTGTTCTGTTCCGCACTCTGTCTCTGGTGAATCCTCTCATCCTCCTGAGCCTCTCACCTATACCCCAGCTATTGTATAAATAAAATAAATCTTTAAAAAAAAAAGTTCCAATTTAGGTTCCTATAGAAGTCTGATTCTGACAAAGTCCAGGATTTAGGATTTCCAACTGTAAAATAAGAGTAAACTTACATACCGGACGCTGAATGGCTGATCAAGCCTGGGCCTGGGCTATATCAAGTGCAGGTAAGCAAGAATTTCAAGTCATTATCCCTGTGCACGCAGGCAGTGTCAATGCCAGCAATGAGAAGTCAGTTTTTCTGGCAAACCCATCAAAATTAAAACAAACTTTTGAAAAAAACTAATATGTTTATTATGCTCCTTCAAGCTTAGAGGTTTAACTATCTGTGGGAAGAGCCTATAATTATGATCAATTACTTATGTCTTGAAGGCACTTATATAGCCATCTGCCCTTTTAAGAAAGCTTTTAAAGAACCAGCCACAGAACTGTAAAACTGATCCTGTAAAGCAACAATAAATCACAGGTTGGGGGTCCAACTTTGACAACTCTCCCTTGGAAAGAAAAGAATTGTTATCACCTGTCCTTGATTTCCTAACCCAGCATGAACAAATATCAGCAACCTGTGAAACTGAGAATTCCTAATCTAGCTAAGCAAATGTTGGGGCTGACGGTTGCCCAAAGGCAGAGGTGGATAAAAAGAAAAGGGAAAGAAAGAAAAAAGGACAGAAGATCTGTAACTCATGAGAATGATATCATCAATGATTTTCTTAAGATCACTGAATTTCATGTCATATGATTGATGGTCTTTTCTGATAAATTACAAGCTAATTATATTCAAGCAGTTTCTTGGTTCCAGAGCCTGTAAAGCCTGGATTTGAGTATGATTTGTTCTAAGGAAAAGGTCTGGTGAACTGATGTTTTCCTCTGCAGAGAACTTGCTCCAAGGCAAGGGCCCCACTAATTCGAAGATAAATAATACTTGGGGATATCTAAAGCACTTTTATAGGGCCTCCCTGATGGCACAAGGGATTAAGCCGCAACCTATCAAGGCAACAGCAGCCACTGCATCAGGAGTTCGATCCCCGGCCAGGGAGAAACCCACATGGTGCAGCAGACATCTCCTGACTGGCCCGCTGCTCCCCTCAGCAGTGTATTTCAATCAATCTGCCTGTTCTGTTCCCCACTCTGTCTCTGGTGAATCCTCTCACCCCCACCCCGCACCTCTGGCCTGTACCCCAGCTCTTGTATGCATAAAAATAAATCTTTTTTTTAAAAGCACTTTCATATCTACAAAATGCTTTCATACCTATTTAGTTTCTCCTCACAACTCATGAGAGGTTGTCATCATCACTACTCAAAATGTAAAAATTTCAGAAAACAATTTATAAGTATAGCCTTCAGAAATTTCCTAGTACAGAATCCAAGTCCTGGGTCAGTTAGAAATCTCTAAAAACACATCAATCTCAAGAGGATAAATCAAGAGAATAAAACATATTAGCCAAAATCTACTAGCAAAATGGCAAAAACAACCTCCCTCTGTTACAAGAATAGACTGTGCTTTGTAAAGGCGAGTGTTACACAGGAGTGACTCTAACACCTCTATTTTGGAAAGCCATTTATTTACGCACATGATAATCACCCTCAACTGGACATTCTCCACAGGTAACAGATAAAATATAACAAGAACTTTGGTCCTAAAATTCTAGTGGTGAAATCCATCCTTTGGGAATTGCCTAGCTGACTGCTCTAGGAAGATGTACCCTTACTTTTTTTTTTCCCTCCAAAATCACAAAGGCCACCCCAAAGGGATTTTGTTGTTTTCCAAAAGACACACATACCAAAGGTAATCTATTGCTTTTATATATAATACCATCTTTCTAAATGCACACTCTTGTGGTATCATTATCTTTTGTCCCTCTCTCCTTAAAATGGCCAAAGTAGAGGTATAATGGTGTCCAATCTTTATAGCCATTTACTACCCTATTTATGTATTTATGATTCCTTGCTGCCTTCTAGCCTGCGTCTAACTGTGTCAGGAACAAAGCACCACACAAATCACCCAGCCTGGGATAAGAGGAGACAAGTTAAAACCTCCCAGGAAGATTCTGTAGACACTTAGGCTCCCTGAGTCCATAGAGGGTTTGGTATTTCAAAGGTCAGTCTTGGGTCTCTCCACTTTGATGACTAATGTTAAATTGTTTGACTTTTTACAAAAATATTTAGCTGTGTCTATTTACATAATTTCACCCACAGTGCACATAGTAGGCACGAATTTGTTGAACAGATATTCTAAACGCAGGAAAAGACCCCCACCTCCTTTTTCTAACAAATCTTCCTAGGAGTTGAGAAAGGTAAAACCACATCCCAATTTGCAGAAGTTTCTGTGCATACCTTTATGACTTAAGCTATGCATTTGTTTAAAAAAACAAAAGGATGACACACCACACAATATCAACCACACAACAGGGGAATTCCAAGATCTTACTAGAAAAACACCACACTCCTAAATTATATACACTTTCACACTGGTTACCACCCAGAAGAGGCTATTTTCTGCACTCACTCCACAACGCACAGGGAAAGCAAGGGTATAACATTCAGAATCTACAAATTTCGTATCTTGGACTCACATGTAACCCGTTGGAGAAGTAGTTTAAGGGCTGTGCTAAAGACGCACATAAAATAACAGACAAATAGGCAACATTTTTGGAAGAAATTTTATACACTATTTGAAAACAGGCATCAACACTGCAGTCCTTAGCTCATCAGGAATTCATCTCATTATGCAACTTTAATAAAGAGAAACTGCGGCTGTGATTGGCAAAAATATTATTTAAAGTTTCTTTATTAAGAAAAAATCTTAATACTAGGCTCCACCAATAAGGTTTTGTATTAATCATCATCTCATCCTGCATTCTCACTCACTCTCAAATTCCTCAAAAATTCCCCAGTGACCAGAAAATAATATGCGAGGACTGGCGAAGTGTCTCATGATGCCTTATTCTGTCCATTTAAAAGGACCCCTTTCAGGGGAGAGCAGGGAGAAAAACACTTGTAACTTGCACAGTGTTACACAGCAGCGAGGGAAACCAGCGCAGGTCACATTTTCTGACTTGTGTTTCTCCTCATGGTGTTTCTGGTAAGGTCACCCGCTCTGGCTCGAACGACAAAACTCAGTCTCATTCAATAAGGTGAATCTCGCCGCGCCACCCCAGCAGCGAACCTGCGCGCTACGTTCCCGGGCCCTGGAACGCCCGGGCGGGCCCTCCCCCGGCGCGCGACCCCCGACGGCGCGGGCACCACTCCTGGCTCACCTGACCACATTGGGGTGCTCGAAGGTCTCCAGGTGCCTCAGCACCGCCACCTCGCGGATGGTGGAGAGCGGCATGCCCTCCTCGCCGGTCTGCACTCGCACGCGCTTCAGAGCCACGAACCGGCCTCCGTTCTTCAGGTCCCGGGCCTTGAACACCTTTCCATAGGCGCCCTCCCCGATCTCCGCCACGCACTCATACTGCTGGTCCGCTCGGCTCAGGCCGTCCTTCTCCATGCCGTCCGGACGCGGCCGGGCGCAGCGCCGCTGGGGCGGGCGGGGGGCGCGCTCCGATCGCTCGCGGCCGCCGCGAGCCTCCTCCTGGGCTCCCCGGCCCGCTCCCTCGCGCCTCGGAGCTCGGCCTAACTCTCCCTCACCTCCGCAGACTCCTGCGGTCCGGCGCTCGTACTCTCGCGGCTGCCGGGGCTGGATGGAGCGACCTCCCCGCGGGCGGGCGCAACCCTGTACCGCCGCCTCCGCGAAACTCCGCCTGCCGAGTCGCCGGAGAGCGAGCCGATCCCTCCTCTTTCCTCAGCGAAGCACAGTCCTCTGCACCGACACTGCGATTACATGCTCTCGGCCCGAAAGCGTCTCAGTCCACAGTCACCCCACCTAGAAGAGGAGACGGGGGACAAGAAGAAACTGCAATCAGACACCTCAGGCGCCTCCACGGGGCTCCTGCCGGCTCCCCTCCTCCTCCTTCACGAAGCCCCCATCAGTACCCTCCGCGCGCGCTCTGCCCTCTCCCAGGCCGCTTAATCCTTCCTGGCTCCTCGAGAAAAACCAAGTTACTTTTCTTTCCCTGCAGGACTGGCGCGGTCTTCGCGCGCGGAGGCTGCCAGGGCCCCTCGGGGCTGAGCGCGCCGCGCGGGACGCAGTGGGACGGGAGGGGGCGTGCCGAGCGGCCCAGAGTGTGCCGGGAGCGCGGGGGAGGGGAGGCGCCGGGCCCGTCAAAGTCACGGCTTAATATTTATCCCTATATCACTGTGCTGCGCCGCCACCCTCCCCGCCTCCCCCGGCCCGGGCGTGCCGAGAGAGGGGCTCCCGGACCGCCGCGGGGCGCGCAAGGGGTCGTGCGCAAAATGGTGTGGAGGGGCTGTGGGTCCACCCGTGTGGGGCCGCAAAATGTGGGTGGGGGCTCCCAGGACCCTGTAACACGATGCTGGGAGTGCGCGAGAAGGGGTGGTCAGACATCTGCTCGGAAATTGCTTCCTTTCTTTCTACTTTCAGTTTTTCTACGAGGAGACATTTAAAAACGACTTGCACACGCGAATGGTCTTTCGGGGGTAAGGGTTTGGAAACCGAGTTCTTCCTCGTACTCGGAGGACCTCCCAGGTGGAAACCCGTCGGATCCACGGGGGCCGGGGCTCGGGCTACTCAAGGGTGGGCGCGCGATGGGGCCTTGGACCGGGTGAATTGCCCCAGGGACCCTCGGGGTGGGGGGACAGTGTGTCCGCCACGCGTTGGCTGGTCGTCTCCCGAAAGAGTAACTTGAGGACGAAAGCAGCATAATCGTGACTTCGCCCTGAAATTTCCAATTGCTTTCAACTTGAGCAAAACTCAGCCTCCCTTTAAAAGGGGTGCGGGTGGGGGGGCGGAGGAGGGGGTGGGGAGGAAAAGCTGGGACTCCGGCCGTGACACACAAGGGGGTTGCGCTCCCCGGCCAGGACTCGCGAACCGTCTCCTCCGCCCAGGTCGTCCCCGAAGGAGGTAGCAGAAGTGGCAGCTGCGAACTCCTTTCGGCTTCAGGCCCGGCCGCCGCGTCGGCATCCTCACGCCCCCCGCCGCCCCCCGCACCCCGAAGCGCGCGGCCGGGGGCTGGGGGGGGTGCAATCTCGCTCCCCACCGAACAACCACCCAGGACCTATGGCACCTCTTCCCGCCGCCGCCGCGGCCTCGGCAGGACACTGGCCACGCCGGGCGCGTGTCAGGCATTCCCGGGGCACCTCAGAGTTACCTGCCCCGCAAGCGCGGGCCAGCTCGCCTTTGCGGAGAACTTAAATACCCGGCGCGACCCCCACGGCGTGCGGCCGGGGGGTCCGGCGACGGCCAGAGCGCCCCTCACCCTCACTCCATTCAGAGCTCTCCTTAAAAGGTGAAGGCGAAGGGGGAGCCGCGGAACGAGCCCCCAGAGCCCGCCCGGGGGTCCGAGCCAGGCCTAGGGCCACACAGGTAGCCGAGAAGCCGCCACCGGCCGCGCAGCCCGCCCCGCCCGCATCCCCCCGCCCCGCCCCAGTCCTGCCCAGCCTGAGGCCCGGCCGCGAAGGAAGCGCCGGGGACGTCCCACCCCCGCAGGGAGCTGCGCCCGCCGCCCCCGCCCGGCCCCGCACCGCCCGCCCCGGCTCCCCCGCCCCCCCGGCGCTTTCCGGACGGTGGGCTCCGGCGGGGAGAAAACCCGAGCAACAGTGCCTCCCCCCATGCACTTTTTTTTGTTGTTGTTGTTGCTTTCCCACGCTGGCTGAATGTGACTTGACCCCATTTCAAAAAAGTTTGACATAGTGCTTCAACATTTCCGCATTCCTCCGCGACTACAAAGGCTGCAGCCGCCTCCTTCTGCTTTCTGTCTCTGCTCTCTGTCTTCACACTCAATGAAATCCTTCATGTGCCTCTCCCGAAGCCTGCCAAGCACCGCAAGGGTCGCCACCGGCGCGGCGGCGAGAGGCCGCCCCGGGCCGCGGCTCCCGCGTGTGCGCACACGCAGATGCGCCCACGTGCACACGACCGGCGCGCGGCCGCTGCGGAGGTGCTCGCCGCGGGGCGCGCCTTTTCTCTCGGGTCGCTTAGGTGATAAAAAGGAAAGCGGAAAGCCCAAGTAAACGTGCGTTTTTGCGGGCTCCAAGGGGAGCCCCGGCCGCGTGCGCGCTCTCCGGGTGTGCACACCCCGCCCGCGGGGGCTGCCCGCACGGAGCCTGCGTTCGCCTTGAGCTCGCGGTGGGGAAGGTGGAGCCCAAACTCACACCTCCGCGGGCTGGAGCAGCTTTCGTGGATTTGGGGCGCCGCAACACCTTCTCCCGCACGGAGTCCCCAGAGGCGGTGGATTTTAGAGCCTAAATGTGAATTACTTTGTGGGTGTCCGAGGGTGGTTTAAACTCCATTTGAAGAGTATAGAAAGTTGAGTGTGTGGCTGTTTGTGCGACCCGGCTGTGGGGGAGCAGACACAGGATCTCGGGGCTGGGGGGGGGGGTGTCCCTGGCGTGATAGAATACCCTTCCGCCAGGCTGGGTGAGACTCCTTCAGCTCCCCCAAACTGGCCCGGATAACTACCCCGCTTCGGGTCCTAAGGGGTTAACTAAAACCGATTTGGAGGACAAACGGCAGCCCCCGCCATCCCCGCTCACACCCGCGCCTCCGACCCCGGCCAAGTCCCCAAATCTGCCTCAGGGACCCCCCACCCCGCAGCCCACCCACCCGGAGCGCACCGTTCCTCACCTGAGGGCCCCGGCCGCGCCGGACCTCCAGAAAGGGCTGCGTGTGTCAGCCCGACCTCCGCACGTGTCCGCGGCGGCCCGGAGCAGGTAACCCCGCTCGGAGGAAGAAGTAACCAGCACTCTCTCCGGCAAGGGGGTGGGCACAGCGGCGGCGGAGGGCGGAGGGACGGCGGAGGGCGCCGCCCGCGCCGCTCGCTGGGGGCGGATGGGGGCCGTGGGGCTCCGGCCGGGGCTCCGCGTCGCAGCCCTGGCGGGGGCAGGGGCGGGGACGCGGGCTGGGGCCCGGGAAGCCGAGGTAGCGGGAGCCCGACCCCCCGGAGGCGGCGGCGGCGGCGGGCCGGGGGCTCGCGGCGCAGGGCGAGCAAGTGTGCAAATTAAAGCCTTCCGGAGAGAGGGGAGGCGGCCGAGCCCCGGCTGCGCGCCGAGCCTCCCGGCTCCCCGCGCGGGGCTCCGGGTCGGGGGCGAGGAGGGGTGGGGGGAGTTAAATGAAAATTTCCGGCTCTCACTGCAACTGGAGTGGGGAATCTCGCGACTAAAATATGAGACGTGAAGAGAGACCGTGAGATTGGCCGTCGGGAGTCGGCGGAGTTTCCAAAACCAGAATCTCTCGGAGCTGGGAATTTGACAGAGGGAAGCGGGGGTATCAGCAGTCTGCGATGTGGACTGATGGGAAACACACAAAACAACCGACAATAATTATGAGGGGCCCGGAGGGGGTGGTAAATACCAACACTTTCCAAAGAAACTGAAAAATCAGACCGAAAAATAACTCTTCTCTATTTAAAAATAAAAAAAAAAAATAAAAAAGTTTGGCAGGACGCCTTGCAGAAAAGAAAATACTAATCTGTCCAAGCACTTTTCACTTTCAGCATGAGCTACATTTGTTTTGTTTTCCTTCACTTCCTTTCGGCCTCACAAAGCCCTATCTTTTCCTTTTGGACAGAGGATATGATTTGGAAATTGTCAGGCACTCTTGTGGTTAACGATCTGCTTGAAGGGACTGGCCGGTTCACGATTATTAAGTGGTTAGCAACTGCTGAGGGCTTCCTAAAGAATATCTGAGAAGTTAAAATGACTAAAATTCAGTGTAAATAACTGAACTGCAAGATAATAGGTACACACAAAAGAGGAGACAGTTTGATTTGGTGGGTGCTCAGTTTAAATGCATTAAAGGAATTATGAAATTTGAAACTTTGTAAGAATGTGTACTTTACCTGCTGAGAAAAACTGAATACAATTATTTCAGGTGACAATGAGATTTTGGAGGGAAAAAGTCAAGACTTTCTATAATGAAATAAAACAAAACTTCAGTTAGTTTATTTTGGGTGAAAGACTTCATTATTCTTCAAAATCTGTGTAGAATACTTGAAACCCTTTAAAATATCTTAAAGCCAAGGTAAAATTTTAAAATTAATTTTAGTATTCTATGGAAAAATTAAAACAGCAAAATTCTTTTAAAATTAGAAATATAATCTCTATAATCTTTTGACTTGAAATTAAACCCTATTGCTAAGTTCACAAATCAAAATTTTGCCATTATAAAATTGATTCTCTACTAGTGTACAGTAACAGGTTAAGTAAATAAAAACTGTTGCATTTCCTTTAGCAAATATTTTGCTGTGCATTATAATTATTTTTCTTAAGTAACAAAGTGAATAAATGTGTTTCTTTATGCTTAAAATAATTCATGAAATACATTTTGTGTTTAGGAGCATATCTCTTGAAAGTGAAAATCCAATTTCGGAACAAAATTTGTATTTATGAAGATATCAATAATCTCAGACTTAAGAAAACAAGTTGTTAGATTTTGTAGTTATATGAAATGTCAGATCACTACAAATCAGTAATTAAATTATAAACCAGAGACTCAAATAGGAATCTTCCATTTGCCTAGTTACTCACACTTATACTCACACTTACAATCTTTCAAAAACAAGATTTATTGGCTGGCAATTAACTCATTTATGTAATTCAGAAATAATTGTCAATAAACAGTCATAGAAACCAGTAAATGATTGTAAGAATCTGAGTAAATAATTTGTTTTAAAAATAGTTAATTTCTGTAAAATTAACAGAATGTTTTCTACATTGAGTTGCATTTTTAATTATTGAATTTGACAAAAACCATAAGTAGATTAGAAATTTCATGATTCAGACTATACAATCACTTGAACATAAAAAATAAAATTTTGATTTGATTATGTATATAAATACTGAATGTTAATTCCTTTGTGTCATCTACTTTCTCTGATATTGTTAATTTATCATTGTTCACTCTCCCTGGTTATGGTTCACATTAAACCCCAATTGGTTAAAACTTTGAACCAGGAAGTTTTACAGTGAATTGTATAAAATTAGTGAATAACAGATTGTTTTTGTTTATGAATAACTTCCTCTGTGGATAATAAGTTAACATAACAAAATTTGTGCAAAGTT